CTCCGAAAGTATTCCTGCCATGACAAAGATTTTCAGTGTGATGCTATCCCCACTTTATTTATGTAAGTATATAAGGTTAACAGTGCCATCTGTATCAACTTGTCAATGTCCGCAACCTCCTCAGCCTTACCAGTGTCACCTACGTTGGTAATGTGACCAGTGTTTTAAGGGTCAGCAGGACTGTCTGTGTTAGAACCTCGGCCTGTAAAACCAGTTTCTTCAGTTCTACAAGTGCTTTCAATGCCAGAATTATCACTGTTACCAGGAGTGAAATCAATGTTATCGGCACCCCAATGCTGCCTGTTACATCATTTTCATCAGAATCATAATTATAACCAGTGTCGCCTAAGGAATCATTGCTGAAGGTGTTACCAGCATCCGTAGTATCACCAGAGTTCCCAGAGTCAACTGTGGTACCAGGGCCACCAGCATTAGCATTAAAGTGGCTAACAGCAATGTAACCAGCGAATGCGTCGCGAATTCCAGCTGGACCAGCGGTAAAACCTTCCAGATTATTTGTAAAAATTAAAATTTTTTTTGTGCAAAAATGCTTTATTTTCTAGTTAGTAGGTTAAAGTCAAGAATGATAGAATACAAGATTGCGCCAATCGAGCTGAGAGCAACTGGGTGTGACATCACAATATTGAGAGAATGAGAGAGTAAAGAATAATTTTGAAGAAGAAGAGGAAGAAGCGAACATGTGGTAGGAAATAGTGTTGTAAAACTAGGTAGAATTGGACTTACTCTTCAGCCACTATTTGAATTTAAACGTATATTCGGTATAAGTAGGTACATTACTATAAGAACATTCGGAACGTAGCGAAATAACTTATCGGCAAACTTTTTCTTATTTTGTAAGCCATTTCAACGCGTTTTCTAGTGTGGGAATTCCAACAGCCTTCCTGCTTTGTCAAGGGATATAAACATTGGTTAAAACATAGGTTTGGCTTCAGCTGCTCGAAGAAATTCCTTTCAAGGCCATTTTAATAGAACAGATTGTTTGATATAAGCCCAAAAGTGGATATGGCACCGAAGGTAGAGGTAGTCCACCAACCATCGAACAAGAATGCACAAAAAAATACTCATCTACCCTTTAGCTACGTTTATTTACTTTTAGGTAAAACTTTTCGGCAAATAGGTACAGTATGAAAATTTAATATTCATCACTAGTGAGAAAAAAAAAATATTGTGACGTCAGCGAAAGGGTGAATGCTCTAAAATCGACAAAGAGAGGGCTAGCGCTCCGTGGAAGGCGCCACCTTTGTTTCGCTGCATCGCAGGTTGAAGTGTGACATTTATGTAGAACGAAAATCTCGTCTTATCATTTGTTACATAGTGTTTGTTTGCTTATTTTAAAAGCTATGCGTTGAATAGTTATGTATGTATTCCTTGAGGCTTTTTTAATTTTTTGCTATACTTATTTTTTTTTTAATTTTCAGGGGAGGTAATTTAGTTGAATAGAGACATAATGGAAAGTCGTGGGTTACTTTGGACTTAGACATAAAAATTTTTAATTAAAATTACAAAAAAAAAAAAAAAGGTTTATTAAAGAGGTTGTAAAAATGAGCCACTTATTTTGAAAATGGCAAGAGTAATTTCCCTGGACGTGTTCAGATGCAGGTTAATGATCACCGAAGCCAAGTGGTATGAAATGACATATGTCACTTTCAAAATAAGCGACTCAAATATCAAACGATATGACAATGAGCGCATTAATGAGCAGATGGCTCATGCACCCCTCCAATTTCGCTCGGTAAACTTTCAAAGTAATTGACGCGCTGCATAGCTTAATTCACAGATGACTTGAGTTATTTGTCGTAAAATGGGCCTACGTATTTCCAAAAAAAAAACAACAAACAACATCTTCTGTGTATGATTTTTGCAGTTCAAACAAAGACTGCAGTTGACCCTCACGCAACTAAATAGTTATCACATTTTTTTTACATCTTTTGCGCACAGCTAAGTGTACTCCAGATAAGCATCTTTGCACTATTCTGCTGTCGAAGCAGCAGTTTTACATCATTCAGTGTTGGGCGTGTCTGCTTTGTACTGTCCATCGATTTGTGAACGCTGCACTTTCCACTTCCACTTTTACTTCACTTTTCCACTTCAGCATTCAATCGCAGTACTCTCTTTATTTCACCTTTTGTTCCTCTTTGTATGCGCCGCTTCTTCTAGCCGGTTGCGTCACTCATTTCACTTTAATTGCACACGCCGCTTCCCACTCTTTCCAGCTGCTTTGCCTACGCTTCTGCCACTCTCACTTGGCGCTGGTGTAGCCGCTCGACTGCTAAGTGAAGTTGTGGCCCTGCTAACGGCGGCGAGTTCACTCAACGAAGACACATCGGTAGGCGCTTGCTCACTGCTGCCACTATTGCTGCTCTTGAGGATCTTCTTGTGATTGAGTATGAGCGGTTCGCCATGTGGACGCGCTGGATTTGGGCGGTTGGTGTCTGCAACTAAACAAAATTTGTGGAAATTTCAGAAGCGTTTAAGAATTCGATATCCCCAAGGGTTAGTGGTCACCAAGTTAGTAAGTGTTTTAGTATGAAGCGGCGTTTCCAAACCCATAGGATTATATTTGGACAAAACTGGTTTTCTTGAATGCCTTTTTCATGCCATTTACATATAGTAATTTATTTACATATTTATATTAATATATATGCAAATATATTTACTCGTTAGATGCCAGTTGGTATTCGTTAGTACTTCAGAGAGTGATGCACTGTTTGTTACCGAATAAAGCTGGACAGAGTTTCGCAATGTGAAATGTTCTATTCAAATATTTATAGACCAAAATGTGCGAAGCTGCTTTTTTTATGGATATAAAATAAAAAAATAACCTATTCATTTCGCGCCAAACAATCAAATGCATTTTATTCTTTGTTTAAAATAAGAAAAAAAAATTAAAACTCTTTTACACATACAATAATGCAAAAAATATGGTTTTTGGGGCATTTACATCGATTTTGTTGAATAAATGAGGTGCTTAAACATACAAAATACTTTGCTCAATACATTCATGCATAATAAAAATATTCGCTTAATATAATCACTTAGTATTTAAAGGAAATTCAAATTTTGAAATCAATGAGGTTTTAAAAATACTAAAATGAACATAACACTATTTAATATCCGATTTGAAGCACAGAAAATCAAATAAATTATTGCTAAAAACACATACAATTTTCGCTTCATACTTGATATTAAAAAATGTTTTGTTACATGGAATAAATGCATTCATTTTAGAAACCTAAAAATGCTTTGGATCAACGGCTATTTGGGTGGAGATGTATATATAAAACTCTCCTGACAAAATCTTTGAAGCCAGGTCTTTGAAGACAATTTATTCATGATGCTTCGGACACTGTAACAATTACGTGGAATGTTCGACAATTTTATAGCTAACTTTGGCGTTCTATGTTCTTCACTTAGTAAAAGTAGTGGAAAGTAGTTCAATCAGCATCGCGATGAAAAACTCATCAAAGGTAGCACAATACTCGGCAATCCAAGGAAATCATGGCACCCGCGAAACTGGTTTATACTGAACTGGCTGCTGGAAGCGAACAGCAATTTGTTGTCCAAAATCACCCCTACAGGCATAGGACAAAAAAATTAAAAAAAAAAAAAAAAACGTTTTAATATACCAAGTTTCTATAAATGAAGTAAAAAGCAGAAAGAATTTTCCCCATAGCCACAGACTTTTTTTTGAGAAGTTGTGATTTTAAAATTTTAGAAATACATGGGGCGCATGTGATAGAAAAATTAATATTTGGTTTGATTTAAATTTTATTAAACTATATCATAATAAAACTGTAGAAAAGTCGTGACTGTGCATTAAAAATTCTCTTAAAAAATGACCGAAGGTGATGCAGCCAATATAATACATAGAATACATTTGGTCCATATTTCACTTGAATTTGAAATTTGGTTTGAAAATATCTTTTTGGTAAGCGCTTATAGTGTGGTAAAAATAAGTTAGTTTGTGCAAGGGGGCATCATGGCCCACTAAATACATAGACGTGAAAATTTTAATCAGCATAACTTCAAAACCATAAGTCACATCATTTTAATTTTTGGTTTGAAGATCTATGGTACTCAAGTGGTTTATACAAGAGGGCGTAGGACATCCCATAGGCGTGACACCTAATCTCAATTTAAAAACTGGAGCGCCGTTTATGCTTATTTCGTTACCTTGATCCATCTAACCTTAATAATAAAACAAGATTGGTAATAAAGAAAATGAAGACCAATATAATGGAAGGAAGAGTTATTACTGGATGCGGTAACCGCAAAAAAATGTGTTTCTGTCTGGAGTCCCATTTATTCCCACACACCTTCAATTTGAATTTAAAAGTTTTCAGTATTCTCTGAGGCTTTGATTTGACACGTGATAAACAAATCGCAAGGTCAAACATTAAAGGTGACTGGGCTTCAGCTAGAAAAGCACTACTTTGACTTGAGATGACATAAAGAAGGATACAAAGATATCCTAAGCTAATCAACGGGGCATGAGTGTATCAAAATGTTGAACAAAATTTGACGACTTTTTTTTAATTATTACAAGGTAAGAAACCTTGAGTTTTACGGATTTTGTTGTATTGTGAATTATATTTTTATTATTATTATTTTTTGTTTAAGAAATCTATAACGCTGCCCATACATATGTAGCTGGTCGATAGCGGATCACGGACCATTAAATAAAATTCTTCTCGAAAGCAAAAAACGAAATAATTTTGGGCCAAACATAATTTTTTCCGCGTATAATTAGCCATCAGCTGGGTCAGATCTCAATACATTCGAGCATACAACATACAACAAAAATATCTCTAACACTACCTAAGCCTGTAAGTACATAAAATGACGGAAGTATTTAGGAAACGAGTAACGGAAGTAGAAATAACTGTGGCAGCATTAAAGTTCCGCCAGAAACAATATCAATGCAGAACAAAACTGCATACAAAAAATATTCTCATGTATTTAAATATGTAGTCAATTTTTCATTTGGATTTATTTATTTATTCATGCGTCCGTTTTAACTTTGCTTTTTAGTTAGGAATGCGCGTTGAGCCGAAAATAAACCAACTGGATTTTCTGGCCGTCTTTATTGGTATGAAGTCTGGCTAAAGTTGCTTGGGAGCGATATCAACGATTTGTTTTTGCACAAAGCTTGTTGGAGACCATTGAGTAAAATAAATTTCAGCAAAACACGGCATTTATTTACCCAACCATCTCTAGGCACAGGCAGATTAACTGACTTAATACAAACATAAATTTGCTTTGAAGTATTCTAAATTTCTCCTAATTTATCTCATGTCGCCGACTTGCCCTCATTACTATAGACATTTGTACACGATACATATATTTGTCAACCACAGCTCATTTAAAAAATTGAGCGCCTTTTACATTTCTACTGAATAGCGAAAAAACTTTGTTTTTGAAGCTTTTGAAGTTTAATTCTGCTATTTATTTTCATCTGCTTCTTGGTAGTTAATGCGTCCATAAATATGTACATATCTGTAAGTATTTCTATACATGTGACAGTCACATTTGCAGCCATTTTTCGCATCATCCTTTTTTAATGTCATTCTAGTGGATATATTTTTTCCAGGGATTTTTATTTTTGCTATCTGAGTAACTAATAAAAATTAATAGCAATAGAGAAGACGACACTTTCTCAGTGCTTAAGATTCCTGGTATCAAGAATTCCGAAGCCAACAATCTGAAGGCACAGACATGCGGATCAACTCGTTAGTTTCGAATTATTTCAGGAATTAACTGCGGTTGCTCTGGATGAAGTTCTCCATCTAACTTGGAAAATTAGCTAATTTTATTTATTTTTTATTTTTATTTATTTTAATTTAATTTAATTTAATTTAATTTGATTTAATTCAATTTTATTTATTTTATGTTATTTTGTTTTATTTAATTTAATTTAATTTAATTTGATTTAATTTAATTTAATCTAATTTAATCTAATTTAATATAATTTAATTTAATTTAATTTAATTTAATTTAATTTTATTTTATTTTATTTTATTTTATTTTATTTTATTTTATTTTATTTTATTTTATTTTATTTTATTTTATTTTATTTTATTTTATTTTATTTTATTCTTTTCTGCTCATATTTCATATAAAAATAAAGTAGTTTATTTTTTCATAAAATATATATTTATTTTTAAATCCGGCTATGTTTGTATGTAATTGCTTTAAACTTAATATTTGAATTTGTTTGTCAATCAACTAATAACTTTTTTCAAAATAATTAGAGTTTATCATGGCGTATGAGTACGTTAAACGGGCAGCTCTGAGAAGAGTTCACTCGGAGGCGTCAAAGTCCCATTGCGCTGCCCAAGGGTAACCCCCATCCCAATCCCAGGAGGGATTCTACATCCTCCTCATCTCTACAGCTTCCCGATTACTGTGATAAGCCTAGTGATTGGCTTTGAAAACCTTAATAAACTGCTTGTTCTTCGTTCGTCGAGTCGTGCTCAGAGCGAGCGCGATACCATCCAGGTGTATGAGTTATATTCAGACTATCATAATTTGTGTGAGTGACGTGCACTCAAACATACAAAACTCTGAATGCACTGTAAAATGAAAACTTGCCAGAAGGGGAAGGCCGAGAAAGCAGTCAGCTATGTAATGGGAAAATATGTATTAATTCATAAAATTTCATCAGCAGCAACAAAGTGCTTAAAAAATTAACCAGTAGCAAGAAAAATAAACGAAATGAGCGCACAGCGCAACACATTTTTCATATGTTCAAGCTGCAAGGTAAGAAACTTTTGTGTGCTTCTTTTGGCCATATAGTATGATGTGGTTATTTTATATGCATTGTTTACCTAAAGTCAAGGACATGCCTATAAAAATTTGTGTACAGTGGATGAAAAACGATGGTAAATGAATTTAATTTGAGTGTAAAACCACGGCTTCGACTTTCAACGCTTTCAAACGCCTGCTGTGCTGGCATACTGGTCTATGTAAATCCAGCTATTTCCCTACCTGCCGACTAATTCTTTTCCACAATGTCTATGTTAAAAAGAATTTTATGGCCAATAGTTGCTTTTGTTGTTGTAAACATGATGCTATTTAGAGGCCGCGCACGCTTTGGTATGTGTGTGTATGTACCATACATATATGCAATCGTTGTAAGCGGGAAAGCTAGTGTTTCTACATGCATACATAGCTTCGTCTAATTTATTTATACATAGCACTCATACGCCCTGTAACCACTTAAAGCGCATAAACGTTGAATATGTGGAGTGCGCATTTGTAAAATTTGCGATGTGTGTGTGTGTGTTTTTTTTACTTTGAACGACCACTTTTATTAAAGAAATAATTTTTTCTTAATTATTTTTAATTAAATATTTTAATTTTACGGGCTTTTGCACACAGAGAGTGTGCATTTGCTCTCCACCTTGGCGTACGCGCGCACATATGTAATTAAGTGAAT